CACCTTTACCAGGCCCATTCAAGACAAGACAACTCCTCGCACCTTTACCAGGCCCATTCAAGACAAGACAACTCCTCGCACCTTTACCAGGCCCACTCAAGACAAGACAACTCCTCGCACTTTAACAGGCCCACTCAAGACAAGACAACTCCTCGCACCTTTACCAGGCCCACCCAAGACAAGACAACTCCTCGCACCTTTACCAGGCCCATTCAAGACAAGACAACTCCTCGCACCTTTACCAGCCCCATTCAAGACACGACAATGGCGCCTATTTGGAGGCTGGTCTCCTGCAGCCAGCAAAGACACAAAACAACATGTTAACTGCCCCGAGGATTAGAGGAAGGAGACCCAGGTGCAATCCAGGAGGAGACTTCCTGCTTGGTGTGTTACCACCCTGAGGTCCAAAGGCCTCCCAGGCCACACCCTCCTTGGGTGACCCCAGTTTTACCTGGTGACACCTAAATACAATTCTGCAAGAGGTCTTCTGTTGGAGGAATTCAAAACACAGATATTGTCGGAGGATTGGGGCCCACTCTGAGGGGACTCGCAGCAAGTCACCCCACGAGGTGCAACAAGAGCTGGGGCTGGGACTCATGGGCAGGAACTGAGCCCACACCCTGGCATGGCTGCTATGAGACGCTGGGCACACCATACCCTCTCTGGGCTGGTCCCCCACGCCAGAAACTAGGGTGTCATCGTGGATTCTGCCCTCTCCCTCATCTCCCACATCTAATGGGGCACCTAATCCCCATCTCCACCTCTGTAATAGGTCTTGAATCCGTTCCCTCCTCAGATTGGTTTCGGCATGCTTCACCTGGATCACTGCACTAGCCTCCAGACAGTCCCTCAGCCTTGAGGCTGTCCCCATTCTATCCATCCTCCAAGCCAGAGAGAACATTCTGAAACACACATCTGCTCACCGTACCTCCCTGCTCATCTGGCCTCCATATCTCTCAGGGTAAAGTTCAACCTCCTTGGCTCAGCTCCCACGTCCTGTGTCTGCCTCCTGCCCTCCTCCTGGCTTCTTCTCCAGCCATGCAGCACATGAGCCCTTTGCCTGCATTTCCCTGAATGCATCACCCTATTACAAGATCATGCAAACTGCTGGCCTCTCTCCCCAGAAGGCCCTTCCCTTCTGCTAACTCCTGCCAGCCCTTCAGAACGCAACTCAAACATCACCTCTTCCAGGAAGTCCTCTCTGATGCCCTAATCTGACACAGGTGCCCCTTTTTAAGTTTTCCCAGGCTCCTGTGCTTCTATCACAGCACTTACAGCCTCTGGTGTTTCTTTGTTGTCTCCTGCACCAAGTTCCCTGGAATAGAGGAACGAAGCCCAGATGGGGACTTGGTTGATTTTGTATCTGCAGCAGCCACCTAGGTACCCAGCACAGTGCTTGAAACACAACAGGAATTTCTCGATGGAAAAATGAATGGGTCTCCTCCTCAGTGAAAGGTCCCTCTGCTGTCTGGGCTAGGGGACCATCAGGTTTTGGGTGTCACATCGGTCTATGCAATTGAGCTCAGTTACTAATGATGACAGTGAACTTTCCCGACCCCGATACCAGTTACTGCAGATGATCAGCAGCCCCTAGAAGCAGTTTAATGGCCACAGTTTGGGGCGGGGTGGGGGAAGACATCCAGGGGTCCCTGGGCTCCAAGTTTTTCCATCTGAGGCCAAGGGATGCCAGAGGCCACACTGCGCTGGTCTGGAGAGCAGCCAGCGCTGGCAGTCCCCCTCCCTGGGCACCTCTAGCTCCGGGGCCAGGGGTCAGCTCTCGCTTACTGAAAAGTTCAGTATTGGGAAATGTGTTTGATTTCAAGTTTCCTGTCACTGGTCTGCTTATTTAAAAATTACACCCCACCTGCTCCCTGAGAGAGAACAGCCGCCTAGGGTCTGATGAATAAGCCTTTTGCAGCCAGCCCCTGTGTGCGGAAAACCCAGTGCAGCTGAGAGGTAGACACTTTCCACGGCGTCATTTCTCTCCGTGGAGCTCAGGGTCTTCAGTTGTAACTTGGGGGTGGGGGGTGGATGAGTTGGGCTCTGGGGCCCTCGTGGCAATGACATCCTGAAAGACTGGCCCCCTTCTTCGTAAACTGATTTTTTTTCCCTCACCCCCATCACTGACCTTGAGATCAAAGTGAGCGATCTTCTTGGTGTGAAGGTAGTTCACCCCTTCCAGGATCTGCTTAATGAAGCTGGTGGCCTCCTCCTCGCTCAGTGACTCCTTCTGGGCCAGGAAGTCGAAGAGCTCTCCTCCGGACACTCTGCAAGATACCAGTGGGGAAGGCCCAGGCCCAGTCAGACCTGTGTGTACGAGGCCAGGCTGGTGGTGCACCCCCAAACCTGACGCCTCAGCCACCCTGTGTCAGAATCCCCCCCACCCATCTCTGGCTTTGTCCAGCAGCACCAGGGATTGACTTTGTTTCTGTTTGCTGTGTTTTTCCCTTTGGGTCATAGGGCAGGGGTCATCCTAGGATGTCACAAGAAGGGCCTCTGGTCACATCCCAGGCCCAGTCCCTGGATATCCTGGTATTACCCCCCCCGCCATAACATGACTGAGGAGGCAGAAGGCAGAAACGAGTCCTGGGGGGCAACAAACAGGAATAAATGTTGGGCCAGGAGAATGGAGACGTGGGTTCCAGTCCAGCCCCGGCCACTGACCTTGCACAACTCACTTCCCCTCTCCAAGCCTCAGTTTCCTCACCTGCACAATGAGCAGACTGGGCAAGATGGTACCTAAAGCCACTTTTCTTTGGTTTTATAACAGATGACCTCTTCACAGGCCCACAAGAATACAGGCATGGTTTCCAATTTAAACGTTGAAAACCATTAATTATATCCGCCTCTAAAACTCTAGAGTACCCCTTTGGCCCTTACATTCCAGGCACTTGCACCCTATGGTTGATGTGCCAGGATTGGAGACCTACAGGATAAAAAGACTCTCCCCTGGGACTTCGGGTTACCATATAAAATAGGAGATTTTTAATGAGTAAACCTGCCAACCCTACTGGGCTTGTCTGTCCTCCGACAGATGCTGGGGGGCCCAGCCAGCACTGTGCTTTCTCTAGGGCTCGGGCAGAGCCAAAGATCACCCCAGGAAAAGATTGCAGGAAGAGATCTAGGACCTTAGGATCACCTAGAGAACTTGCTAAAAATGCAGCTCCCCAGGCCCTCCTGCAGATCTTACCCATTTAGATTCTCTTTCTCAACCAAAACCCATTGCCATCAAGTTGATTCTGACTTATAGGGACCCTATAGGACAGAGTGGAACTGCCCGATAGGGTTTCCAAGGAGCAGCTGGTGGATCTGAACTGCTGACCTTTTGGTTAGCAGCTGAGCTGATAACCACTGCGCCACCAGGGCTCCAGATTCTCCTTAGAACCTGTATTTTTACAATAACAGCAACATGAAATAACAGTAGTAAATATTCCTTACTCTGTGCCAGGAACGGAGGTACACGCTTTGTGCATATTATCTCATTTACTCAGCACAACACCCTGTGAGTATTAGCACTATTATTTTCCTATTTTACAGTCGAAGAAACGGAGGCTCAGAATGGTTAAGTGACTTGTCCAAGATCACACAGCCAGTGAGTGGTAGAGTTACGATTCAAACTAGGCAGAATGACTCTCAACCACTATATGAGGCTGAGTGTTCCAGATGATTCTTATGATTCTTACGTGGTCAGAATGGCTTCCATCCCAGCTTTGGGAACCCTCTCCTTGCCACCTAGTCCATCCTAAATAAAGAGCATCAAAACACTTCTTTTCTCCTCTCTTTAAAAACGTCCAAAGGCACACCGTGACCCACTGATTAATCAGAGCATCGTGGAAAGTGGAATAACCAGACTTGATGTCGTATGATAGGAAGCATGCAGCAACACCTATGAAGTATTCTGACCCCTAAAAAATTGAACCTAAATCTGATTTAGCCTCTAGTTCAGCACTAGCTAACAAAACTTTCCACAGCGATGGAAATGTTCTACTACAGCTACACTGTCCAATACAGTAGCCACTTGTCACATGTCACTAGTCACTGAGCCCTTAAAATATAGCCAGTGCGGCTGAGTAACCAGATTTTTAAAATTTTATTTAATTTTAGCTAATTTCAGTTTAAAAACTGAAGCAGTATACAATATTTACCATTAAACGCAGCTTGACTGTTTTGGTAGGACTGCATTTCACTTTAACCGTCGTGTGAGTTGAGATGTGCTGTAAGTGTGAAGTACAAAGTGGATTTTGAAGACTTAGTATAAAAAAAATAGAAATAGAATAGAAAATACCTCACTGATAATTTTTATATTGATTACCTGTTGAAATGATAATATTTTGTATACACTGGGTTAAATAAAAATATTATTAAATTTAATTCACCTTATTATTAAAAAGGACTTCTTATTCAATGAGGCTACTAGGTAATTTAACATTTCATATGTGGCTCTTATTATATTTCCATTGGACAGCACGGCTGGAAAAGGTGTCTCCTCTATATCTAACCACTAGTTTACAGGACATACAGGGATAGAGGAACCAGTTAAATAACACCATGAGGAAGGAATTTGCCAAATCTAGACTGTGAGACAATCAAGAGGACAAATGACCCAGTTTCTCCAACAAATCAATGGCATCAAAAAAGAGGGGGAAGAAGAACCATTATAGAACACAAAAGACATAAGAGATGAAAGAACCAAATACAGTATAGGGACCTTCTTTGGATTCTAATTCAAATGAAACAACTATAAAAACTATCTTTGAATCCTTTGGGAAACATGACTATAGACTGGACGGTAGACAGGCCTCACCAGGGAAGCGTTACAAGCCCTCACCAAGGCCTGACTGATTCTGTTAGGTGCGATGAATACATCATGGTCACGTTTTTAAAAACTGTTATCTGTTAGAGATGCACACTATTTACAAGTGAAATGACATGATGTCTGGGATTTGCTTTAAAATATTACAGCAAACGAACAAAACAAAAAGTTGGGTTTGTAGGAACCTTATATAAATCAGGATTGGCAGAATGCTGATAACTTGAAGCTTGGTGACGGGCATGTGTTATGGATTGAACTGTGTCCCCCAAAAATGTGTGTCCACTTGGCTAGGCCATGATTCCCAGTATTATGTGATTGTCTACCATTTTGTCATCTGATGTGATTTTCCTATGTGTCGTAAATCTTACCTCTATGATGTTAATGAGGCAGGATTAGAGACCATTATGTTAATGAGGCAGGACTCAAGCTACAAAATTAGGTTGTGTCTTAAGTCAATCTCCTTTGAGATATAAAAGAGAGAAGTGAGCAGAGAGGATAGGGACCTCATTACCACCAAGAAAGCAGAGCCGAGAGCACAGCGTGTCATATGGACCTGGAGTCCCCACGCTGAAAAGCTCTTAGACCGGGAAAAGATTGATGACAAGGACCTTCTCCTGGAGCCGACAGAGAGAAAAAGCCTTCCCCTGGAGTTGGTGCCCTGATTTTGGACTTCTAGGCTCCTAAACTGAGAGAATAAATTTCTGTTTGTTAAAGCCCAGCCACTTGCGGTATTTGTTACAGCAGCACTAGATGACTAAGGGGCCCTGGTGGCACAGTGGTTGAGAGCTTGGCTGCTAACCAAAAGGTCGGCAGTTTGAATCCACCAGACACTCCTTGGAAAACCTATGAGGCAGTTCTAGGGTTCTCCCTCAAAGCCTCATAAGGAATCAACATGACTAACATCTGGATGTCGGACTCACAGCCTCCAGAGCTGTGAGACAATAAACGCTGCTCTTTTAAGCCACCTAGTTTGCAGTGTTTTGATACAGCAGCCCTAGGAGACTAATACAGGGAGTAAAGAGTGCCTGTGTCATAGACTTGTCCTGAAGACCAAATGAGTGGGTGCACCAGCGAAGCGCTCAGCACAGTGACTGGCACACAGGAAGTCTCTGTTGATGGGGCTCTGTCACTGCTGTGGTTATTTGTCACATGTGGTTAGCACATGCTTAAGTGGCTGGAGAAGGTGTCGGACATGCAGTGAGACTTAAGGAAGGCCTTGATGAATGAAGCAAGGGAACGAGGACAGGCACGATGGATAGGGGACAGCACAAGCAAAGGCACAGCGATGGGGAGTGTGTGCCCCATTAAGTCCCTATGCACAGGCCGGCCTTAGAGGTGAAGGCCTGCATTGGAATGCTGGCTGTGCCACTTACTTACAAGTCGGGCTCAGCTTCAGACTTTTTTCATCTGTCAAGTGGGGTTAAAATAAAAATCTCCCTAAACAGGTGGATGAATGTCAGAAAGTGTATGTTCCTGCTATGTGAGCTTCTCAAGGGCAGGGCCATGAAACAGGGTTTTGCCTTTACGTCTCTAGTGTCTGGCACATAATAGATGCTAAGGAAATGCTTGGAGAGAGGGGGCGAAAGGAGAAGTAGGTGACAAGAGAGGAGAAGATGACGCCTGAGAGCTCGCTGTCTGCTGGGGCTGCAGCGCCTCTCCACCACGTGGGGCCTTGAGTGGCCACCTAGGATCTGGGGACAGACCTGGTGTGCTATTTTTCCCGCGTATCTGCCAGGTGAGGTCACCCTTGCCCTGCCCCACCCCCATCCAGGGCAGGTGCTAGAACATAGAGCACCCTTGCAACAGCGAAGGAGTAGTCCTGAATCTGCCCTGCAGGCCTGGGTAAAGGACAAAGACAGTGACCCCAATCCTTTCCCACCTTAGACTCATCCTTGACCTTGGGGTAGAGCATGTGAGCATTCCAGGGCTCAGCTTTTCTTCTGATAAAACAGGAATGAGAAACAAGCGGTCTCATTGCCACCTTTAGGGTGAGGACGGAAGAAATCTTGATGTAATGTTGAACAAATGCTGTGAGAGCCTCAGTAAAGCCCTTGAAATAAATACCATGCGCCATACCATGGTTGGGCTGGCAGTGGTGGAAGACTTGATTTAGAGTTTATTGAGAGTTTGCCACATTTTCAGTGTGCTTTTCCAAGCATTCTCCCACTTGAGCCTCACATCTACCCTGACAGGTAGATGGAACTACTGCCCCCATTTGGCAGATAAGGAACTACTGTTCCCGTATGGCAGATAAACTGAGGCTCCAAGAGAGCAAGTGACTTGCCCAAGGTCACAGGTAGTAAGTGTCAGAACCAGGATTTAGACCTAGATCTTCTCAGCCCCAGTCGACCACGTGTTCTTCTCACCACGCTGTTTCCACATCACAAAGCTTGAGTTGCTGGTGCAAGAAATAAAGCCTCAAAACCACCTCCCAAGCCCTGGGCAGTCCTCTGGCATCGCTGTTCAGCTGTACCCGTGCCCTCATTACACTGGGCTGTCATTACCTGTCAGTCTCTCCCTGCCCAGACTGTCTTTGCTTCCACAACACCTGGCACAAGAAAGACATTCAATAGATGTTTGATGAATAAAAGGCCAAACGGAAGAAAACATTTCGAATACCAACATGACATAGAATATGCTATATCATATAGACAGTAAATCTTCAGCATTTGCAAGAGATCTGTCTGCAGCCCTTTGCAAACTGTCAAATGTACAGTGCCCTTCTGAAATGCACACAGCCCAGTCCTGCCCTTCCTTTTTATATTCCCGGAGCCTCCCAGCCCTGCTGGGTCAGGTAAGGCTGTGACTTCAGACAGATCCCAGGGCTGGCAAGGCTGCAGGCAAACAAGAACACCCCTACATCGCAGGAGATATTGGTTAATTGACACCATTCTTTGAAAATGAAACTGTAAGAGACCTAAAAATGTCAGCCTTTGACTTAGTCCTCTTACTCCTTAAAGAATTAACTCAAAAGAAAAGGGGAACATTATAGGAAGAAAATTGTTTTATGGCAGTAAAATCTGTAATAGTGAAAAGCCAGAAAATAAAAACCAAATGCCCGACAACAGGGAAAAATATTGGTATGCAATTCGATGAAACGTGATAGCGTCAGTAAAAAGAGAGAAAGTTATTTATGGAGTTCAAGTTACCCGGGAAAAAAGTAGAGCAGGAAATTGTACAAGAACAATACAACTAGGTAAAGACTGAGAGGGACCGCAGAAAAACATAAACAGCTGTGTTTAGGTGGTGGCATTATAAATGTAATTTCTTTTCATTTGCTATCAATATTTACTTTTAAAGAAGTGGCCTGGCCTTCCCGGCAAAGGTGGGCTTGTCACTGTCTGCTAGGAATCAGCATGCCAACTGCTAAGCCTTAGCCTTGGAGAAGGCCACACCTGAGGGACCCCTCCAGGCTCTGTCTGGGCCAGGCAGTCCAACTGGCTGGGCCGTCTTGGGAGAAACGTGGAGACAGCAAGGGCAATTCCCATGCGTTTAAACATTGAGGTGGATGATTTAAGAATCAAATGCAAGCGTATGCAAATACCCATCTGCTTCTTAAACCTATATCCTGGCAATGCCAGAGCATAGTTCTCAAATCAGAATGATCCCAAATGTCAGGTGTTCCAGCCCACCTGTAGACAGCTTAAGGGTGGCTGCCTGGTTCACAGACGAGACGCAACGCTCAGAGGGGTGAGGTGACTTGTCCAAGGTCACGAAGTCAGGGATAGCTAAGGCAAAGCCCCCATGCCTCTGCTAATGACACACGTGCACACGCTTAAGAGGCTCAGAACGTTCCCAGCCCAGGGTCTTGCTCCCTGACCTGACACAGCTGCGGCGACTCATTCCAGAACCCGCCTCAAGTCTTTTGTCTGCCAGAGCCCCACCTCCCCACTCCATAGAAAGACCTCCAGAGGGACACCAGGGTGGCCAGCCAACCCCTGGAGTCTTGGTGTCGCCTATTCAACCAAGGAGTGGTTAGTCTTCCCCTGCTAGGCCAGCGTAAGGCCACCTCCCTCATGCTCAGAGCTGTCTGCACAGGCCATATGGACTCAAGCCTTGGCTCTGCCACTTCCTGGCTATAGGACCTTGCCAGTGACCTGGCTTCTCACTGTTCTTGTCCGTAAAATGGAGATAATCCCATGTGACAGGGCTGTTATGAGGACTAAATAAGGTAATAAACAGCAGTAAAGCACTCCTGTGTACATAACAAGGAGCTCTGGTGGTGCCATGGTGAAGTGCTTGGTTGCTAAAGGAAAGGTTGGTGGTCTGAGCCCACCACCCGCCCTGCAGGAGAAAGATGTGGCGGTGTGCCTTCGTAAGGATTACAGACCTGGAAACCCTATGGGGCAGTTCTAGTCTGTCCTACAGGGTCTACTCTGACCCTATATGGTTTGGTTTTGGTTTATTTACATAATAACCTCTCTGTTTGTAAGACACTTCCCTCATTACAGGCTTTGTGAGGAATGAACAAAATGACAAATATGAAGCTCCTAGCAAATGTTTGGCCTGTACCAGCTGTTCCTTAAATAATGGCTATAATAATAATAACAATAAAGGAGTCAAACAACACAAATGCAATGGATTTTCCCCAGTAAAAGGCTAGAGAAGGGCTTCACGGAGTTCAGAGGATTCTGGTTCTTCCCTCTGTATTCCTGCCAGTAGCCTCTGCCCCACTGCACCCACACTTTTGCTCTCTCTCAACCTCCCACATGCTCTCCAGCCCGGCAATGACCCCACCGCCATCGTCCAATAAAAGCTGGACCCTCGCCCCCGCTCCCCCAAGCTGCTCAGGGGCCCATCCCTCCTCTAGCCCAGGTTCAGAAGGAGGATGAAGGTAACTGAGGCAGTGGAAAACCGCCCACCACTGCCTTCCTCTCTGGGCCTCAGTCTGGTGGCTGCTACCCTCTGGGCCCGTGGCGGGGGGTGCCCTGTCCAGCCCACATCCATGCGCCCCCACTCACAGCTCCAGGATGAGCACCACATCGGTGCGGTTCTCGTAGACGTCGTGCAGCGTGATGACGTTGGGGTGCAGCACCTGCCTCAGGATGCTCACCTCGCGCTCAATCTCCTCCCGCCGCACGCCCCGCCGGCTGGCCAGGCTCTGCCGCTTCTTGATGAATTTGGCGGCGTACTCCAGCCCCGTGCTCTTCTCTCGGCACTTCTTCACGATGGCGAACTGGCCGCTGTGGGGACGCAGAGCCATACAATTAGGGCGTCGCTGTGGCTATCGGGGAAGTGATTTGGCCAGCAGCCACCAGGCCACACTAATTCAGGGTCATTCTGCCAGGGCAGGACAAAGCATGCCACCAGGCAGCATCCCCACCTGGGTGTCAGCCAGTGATGGAGATGGGACAGGTACTGGGCAACTCTTCTGTTCCTAGGAATTCATTACCTTTTACTAGTATTGCCACTCCCAGTGTACAGATGTGAACACTGAGGCCCTGAATGGTTAGTGATTTGATCAGGATGATACAGCCTCCTCATTCCAAAGCCTCAGCTAGAACCCAAGTCCAATACCCACGAGAAGGAATCAGAGCGTCCACAGGTTTATACTGTGTAACAGGGAAGACTAAAACAGGGGGAAGGGAGATGGGGGGAGATAAAAAAGATCAGCATGGCCAAAATACTAACAGTGACAATCATCAGTTTGGGTCCGCTGATCTGGGGATAAGCGTAAATTCACTCATTTGGAATTGTGAGGGGACAAAGCACCTCTGTATTTTCATCTCACATCTTTGCTCCCAATCCCTCTCCCAGCAAATAAAATCTCAATTACGTGGTCTGAGCCAAACAACGGGGGACTGAGCAAATATGTGAACAATGAACTTAATGTAAAGATAAGGCAAGGAACTCTGCAGGTTTAGGGGGAGAAGGAAGTAATCTGACAACATTAATAATTGTAGAGGGAGTTCCTCCCAGAGAGGGGGCTGCTGTTGCCCCCAAAGTTGGAAAATGTTAGGAAAGAGACACGGAGGGGTCAAGTGACCCACCTGAGGCGTCAGAGTTGATGGCAAAGCCAAGCACCCAGCCCACTGTCCACAAAGGCCCTCAGACAGTTACAGAAGTCAAGCCCGTGCTTGGTTCCCTTCGGGCGCTAGCACTCAGAGCGGGGCCTGGAAATCCTTCACTCCAGGGACCAAGACGGCAGCCAGGAGAGGGTGTCCATGCCAGAGCAGTGGGCAGCCCTGAGCCACCTTCCCAGAGTGCTCCCAGGGCACCCACCCACGGGGAGGGGCAGTGGGTAACCCTATTGCTTCACCGTCTCAGTTCAGGTGACCAGCAGGAGCAGCAGAGTCCCTGGGACTGTCCAGTGGCCACTCCTCCTGGGTGCCCTCCCACTCTCCTTCTGTCATCACCCCATGCTTTCCTTCTTTAAAAAAAAATTGCTTCATTGACATATAATTCACATCACATACAATTGACCCATTTAAAGTGCACAATTCAATGGTTTTAGTATATTCCCGAAGTGGTGCATCCATCACCACAATAAATTTTAGGACATTTTCATTACTCCAGAAAGAAACCTGCACCCCTTAGCTGCCACCCCAATCTCTCCACCTCCCCCTAGTCCTAGACAACCACTAATCTACTTTCTATCTCTATAGATTTGCCTATTTCGGACATTTCATGTAAATGGAATTACACTATGTAGTCTTTTGTGACTGGCTTTCACATAGCATAATGTTTTCAAGGTTCATCCCTGTTATGGCAGGTATCCGTGCCTCACTCACTTTTATGGCTGAATAATATTCCATTGTATGCATATACCACATTTTATTTATCCATTCATCAGTTGATGGACATTTGGGTTGTTTCCACTTTTTGGCTGTTACAAATAATGCTGCTATGAACATTAGTGTACAAGCTTTTGTGTGAACATATATTTTCATTTCTCTTAGGTGTATACCTAGGAGTGAAATTGCTAGATGATATTGTAACTCCATGTTTAACCTCTGAGGAACTGGCAGACTGATTTCCAAAGGCTCCACCATTTTCCAACACCACTGACAATGTATGAGAGTTCCAATTTCTCGACATTCTTTCCAACACTTGTTATTCTCTGTCTTTTTGATCATAGCTGTCCTATGGGTGTAAAGTGGTACCTCATTGTGTGCCCCATGTTTTCTTGCCATCCAAAACACACACTGCTTGGGACAGAACTCAGAAAGTTTTATGGTTCAGCTTAATAGCTTAATAAGGGGCCTCCAGACCCTAGCTAAGGATGTACTATCTAAGTGGCTCTGGGGTAAGAGTCACACACAGTGAGAGACTCTGGATATTTGCCTCAACCTCCGAAAATACCACGGCGCCTGGACCACTCCACTATTAGCAGTGAGACTGTCTCCAAAATAAACATGATTGGCAAGAACAACAACAACGAAGTCAAGCAGAGCAAGCAAGGCATACACACACCAAGACTTCCACAGCATTCTATGATCACCATCTTAGAAAAGTCGCTGAACACATATTCATGTCGGTCTCCATCCCCTCATCCTTCCATTCGCTCAGCACCACCTGAGCATCTTCTCTGTGCCAGGCTCTGAGCTGGGCAGTAGTGGACAAGGACCAAGGGTAAAGACAGCAGGTACAGGTAGAACTCTGAGGAAGGAGAGGGCCCGGGGCTGGGCAGGGAAGTCTTTGTAGAGTCAATTTTATATTACATTGTCCACTAACTGTAAGGTTTGAGCTATTTAGGGCCCAATATTGGCCCTGAGCTGTTCCTGTATTAGGGTCTGACGCAGGTGGAGTGAAGCCAGTCCTCCCAGCCAAAGTGAACGTGTTCAGTGTACTCTGTAACACAGCTGGTCACTTGGAGCCACTTTGGGCCTCGAGGACATCGAGTACCTTAGTGGGTGCCAGCAAACACTTCACAAAACTTCCAGTCCCAGCCAGCCTTGACTCTCAGCTTCTGTATGGCCACGCTACTCTCCTCTGTCTCGGACACCTCAAGGGGCCACTCACATGGTGTGGCATTTTGGCGTTCCCACAGGTGCTTTACTGCAGCCCTGAGGGCAGATGAGGCTCACTGTCTCTACTTAACCCTCCAGGAAACCAAAGCTTGAGAATTTTAGGTCATTTGTTGAAGCTTCCGGAGCACATAGGCGGAGGTGCAGCGTTTTGTTTGGCACTCAGACCCCGCAGCCCCCAGCCCCACACTGTTGACTATGTTAGGACTTGACTGCTCGGATGAAAGGGGAAGAGAGGTTTTGTGAAGCAGAGCTAAATGTTTCCGGTCACCTTAACAGAGCTTCCACTTTGTCTTCTGAGGGAAACAGAGGCATTTTTCTGTAACACAAGCCTGGAAAATTCCTCAAGCTCTCAAAAAGCAAACGAGTGTTGGCTTTCCCTGCCAGAGTTTTCTCTTTGTGAGAGCAGCCGTGGCCATGAGGGGTGACTGGAGGTCAGACTCAATGTGCAGGCATCTTCCTTCCGCCACAAGGAGGTGTTCTGAGAGTGGGTAACTAAGACAAAGCCAACTACCAGGCAACATGGCTCCTCTCTCCTCTCTTCACAAGGGAGGCTTCCTCCATTCAGTGAGTCTGGGGGAGCCTCCAGGAAAGCCAGGGCTGCTTGTTCGTTTCCCCCTTCCCTTGGGCACTTACTGGGGAAAGTGGGGAACACCCTCCCCTAGGGTCAGCCCCCAGGCCACGAGGCTTTGGGTGTCAAGAGCAGGCTTCAAGGTTAGACTGGCTTGGCCTCAGGAATTTATGCCAGGGGTGAAATATCCAATAAGCAAGGTAAGCACAGGCTTACTTGCGCTTACTTACTAATCTGTAGTGAACAGATTAGTACCGTGAAACCCATGTGAAATTGTTAACTACAGGTTAGCAAGTAAGCACAAGTAAGCCCGTGCGTACCTTGCTTACTGTAAACCCATGCAGAGCTTGCTTACTGGTTAATCCACCCCTGGTTTTCTGCCGTCGAGTCGATTCCAACTTACAGTGCCCCTATGTGACAGAGTAGAACTGCCCCATAGGGTTTCCTAGGCTGTAATCTTTACGGGAGCAGATTGCCAGGTCTTTTCCTCTGCAGAGCTGCTGGTGGGTTCAAGCTGCTAACCTTTCGGTTAGCAGTTAAGTGCTTAACCATTGTGCCACCAGGACTCCTACGTAATATAATACAGCAACTACTAATACTGGTAGCTAATATGACTGTTACTAGCTTGTGGCTCATGTGAGGGCTGAGCAAAAGGTATCAGACACAGAAGTCACTGATTTAAGTGGTCTGGATGCGTAGCCAAGGAATCGGCATAATTTTAAATGCTCCCCAGATGATTCCAGTGCAGCCACATGTGAGAATATCTCTGTTTGAAGCAATCAACCGACTCTTACTCCTGAGAGCAGAAGTTTTCCACCCTGACTGCATACTGGAATCACCTGGGGAACTGTTAACACTGCCGGTGCCTGGGTCCTATCACCGTAAAAAAAAACAAACAACCAAACCCATTGCCATCGAGTTGATTCCGACTTATAACTACCCTATAGGACAGAGCAGAACTGCCCCACAGGGTTTCCCAAGGAGCGGCTCGTGGATTCAAACTGCTGACCTTTGGTTTGCAGCCGTAGCTAGCCGTAGCTCTTAACGACTGTACCACCAGGTCCCATCCCCAGGGATTCTGAATTCCTGGGCCTGGGCTGCAGCCTGGACATCTGATATTTAAAAGCTCCCCAGGGTGATTCTGATATGTAGCCGGGGCTGAGAACCCCTGACTTACAACAGCTCTCTAATGATCCCCCTTTTACAGATGAAGAAACGACCCTGCTGTGAATCACGTTATCCTCTGTCCTTTTGAGTGTTACACTCCCCCTTAATCCTTTGGTCTGGAGGGGAGAAAAGGAAGGAGAGGGGAAGGACCGTCTCTCCCACCAGCACGGGTTTTCTTGGGGGGTCAGCAATCAAACTGTCACTATGTTAATTTGCAAATCAAGACAATTACTTCAGGTTTTGGGAGATAACATGAGTGGAAGTTTGCAGTGTGGATACCCACAGCAGATGCCCAAAAGCTGGTGCTGAGGTGGCTCCACTGTACCCATCAGAGGGCCCCAGCAGACCCATCAGGAGGTGAAAGCAGTGATGGTGACAGGCCCTCGTTCAGCCCCACTGTGCAGAACCTAGCTAGGCTAAGGGGGTGAGAGGTGAGAGTGAGGGCCCCTCTAAGTTAGGACAGTGCCACCCAAGGCAT